CCCCCCCTCCTTTTGCAGAAAGCAGTATAGACTGAAAGTGTATTATACTTTTCTAAAAGAGAGCACGCATCTAAAATGTTTACAGTCAGTCACAGGATGAAAACGGGAAGGCGCCTGTTTCCGTCGTCCGGCTCTCAGCAGGCGTTCTCTGCTTTCCGTCGTGCTCTGGCCGCGCGTGCACGCTCAAAGCGCATGTGACGAAACTATCATCGCAGTTATATGAAAAGCTCGCTTCGGAGGTGGGACGACCAGGCCGCCTCCCTACCCTTCTGATCACATTAGTGACTATGGGGGGCGCTCACTGGACGCCATATTCCAGGGCGTTGTTCAGAGCGCGTGCTCAGAACGAGCTCACATTAATATCCTGCCGAGACGGGCAACCTCGATGGTGCGGAACTCGCGAAAGCTCGCCGTCAGCCATAGCCTCCTATATACTGACAAAGCCTGGCAGATCGCCACGAGAAGCGGCCGCCGAAATGGAAAAGGCGGAGCGGCAAACAACGGGTGAGAGGAGGAGCCACGTGAATGGCGCCCCGCTGCGGCGAGACGCCGAAACACACTTCTCCCGAGCGAACAAGTGTGTTTCGGGTCCTCGCCGCTGCAAAAGCTGTGCGCTCGTCCCGGTTTCCCGTGAAATGGCTTTTTGATGCTTAGTGCTACCAGATCCCTGCGCTCCAAATCTGCGACTGGGAGCTCATGGCTCCGTTGTCAAACTGTCAGGCTTTGTGAGTATACAGGAGGCTATGACACAGCTATGGCTGCCAGCGAATAATACTCCCTAGCAAATTGCAGAGTATGCTACTTTCAATATCTGAAGTATTCAGTATGCTTTAAAGCCTCGGCCGCACCGCTTAATACATCGCACAAAAAGGCAGTATGGAGACATCGTCTTTGACGTGTTTCTTGCTTGGATGACAATCATGTTACATTGGTCACAAAAAAACTGCCTGCACACGTTTTCAAAGCATGCATGCGCATGTACGAAGCCAACATGCTTGAAACATGCCTGACGCGTGCCCGGAGACAATTCTGTCATCATGTCTGGGGCGAACGCCCTGTCTTTTTGTATAGCATCTATGAGGAGTGTGAGTGGAGTTTTGTCGACTTTGCTGCTCGGCGATGTGCTGCGCGCGTGTACGAACTCTTGCGCTGCAGTCAACCCTGTCTGACGACGCCAGAAAAACAACAACAAAGAAACTTGAAGGGACGCGAGACAGCTTCCTGCAAAGTCCGTTTCGTCACGCACTCCTTTCAACTCGAGCGGCGACGACGACGACGGAGGCGGAGGAGCAGCGGAGCTCCGCGATTCCGCAAGCGTGGGCGAGACGACGTCCCAAGATGGTTACCCCACCAAACAAAAGACACAAAAATGATGCACGCAAGAAAAAATCAATGAAACATTTCGGGGCCGCTGGCAAAACGCGTTCGAAAGAAGACGTTTTTTTGGGAGGTGTGTATGTAGCGGGGTATACACGGGAAAAGACCGACACGACGGGCTGTGGCGGCAAGCGTAGCCGATGCTATATACAGGAAGAAGAGCGACCTCTCGTGGCGTCGGCGGCGGGGCGGACACTACGTCCCCCCACAAAGAGATTATTACGGACAGAGGGAGAGAAGGACCCGCAATGCGGTGAGCATCGGGAGAAGACCCGGGATGCCGTGTTGTCGGTATTTTTTTTGGTAGCTGTTCTTTTTGGTCGCCGGCGGTTGTCTTTTGGTTGAACGTGTTACGCCCAATCCGCCACAGGACGTGGCGCGGTCCCGAGATCGGCCGCCGTCGACTCGTTCCTTTGTGCTAATGCCTCGCACCGAGTCGAACCGACGCCCTTGACGGCGGGGGCCAGCGATTCCTCGACGGACGCTGGAATTGTGAAACCGACCCCCGATTTCTTTTTTTGGGGGGTGGTGAAGAACAGTACCAACGCCCAACGTTAAAGAACGCTTAGTTCTTAGAGAGAGAAATAAATAAAAGAAAACGATACGAGAGGAAAAGCGAAAAGAGGACAAACACAACGAAATGTCAAATTCAAGACTTGGCTGTGTTTGTCCGCTTCTATTTTTTTTCCCCGTTGTCTCAGTTTTTTTGCAGTATGGTCGTGCCCCAGCTCGCCTGCGCAGTAACTTTTCAGCAAAACATAGTTTTTGTTAAAGCTGTAGTCCCAAGAGTGCGCTCAACTTAGGTCACATTTCGGGGTCACTGAATATATAAAAAATACACCAACGCTCCTGTTTTTTCTTCTTTTTTTATTATTATTATTAGTTTTTGTAGTTTTACGAAAATACCCGAACGCACTACGCTCCGTAACTTCCCACTACAGCGACTAACGGCAAACATTGCTTGCCCGCGAAAACGGCAAATGCACCTCGTCTCAACTTTTCTTCGCGGTTCTGAGCCACCAACTGGTCGCAATATTCACATGTTCGTGAAGATGCTATACACGCGTAAAGATGTAAGGGTCCTCAAAAAGCCGATGGTTGTTTTGTTGGCGGTCAAAAATAGATGAACGCAGCATATGAACGTAGGCGATTGGGCTAGTGATGTCATTCTTAAAAGTATGTTAAGAAGGCTACGACAACGTCAAAAATACAAACAACGCAGCGCACTTTTTTTTGTGCTCTGGTTGTGTCGTTACGTTGAATTGTTCTTATACCCCATTCACACGATCATAAAGGTACATTTAGCTAAGGGACCTTTATGGTCGGCGGCGAATCAGTTCGTGATCCTCCGCGCGTGGCATGAGCTCGCGACTCTATAGCGCGGGTTGATTCGCCGACTGGAAACGGACCTATGTTAAAGGTACCTTTATGCTGCTCGTGTGAATAGGGTACTAGACATTTGTCGCTCCAGTTTGGTAAAGTCCTAGAAACAACAGGGCGTGTAAAACTAGATTGCAGAGGATATTCTCTAGTCCGTGCGGAGGACCTTGATGATGCTTTCAATTGAAACGGGAGACGCCGATATCGCCTGCACGAGGGCGAACGTATTTGGTAAATACATGGTGAATACCGGTGAACTTCAACGCAACAAACCAAGTGCCCCATCAGGACCCGAGTCCTGATGGGTCAGAGAATCCAACCGCCGCGCCCCTAGCGGCTAAGTTGATAACTAAACCCACGGGGACAGCAAGAACGTGATTATTTATATTTGCGTCTCACACAGCGCTCGGCTCGTGCTCAATCGGTGAAGCACGAACTGAAACTAACCCCGGCCAACGCTGACACCGCACTCGTGCTCACTCTATGCCCAGTGTTGGCGGTAACGCGTTACATAAAACGGCGCTACGTGTCTCGCCGAAGGTGTTCGAATGCGAGAGCCAGAAGCCCGGACACCGGCCTTCCGCGCTCTAACGCGTTCGACGAGTGCAGTGGAGACAAAGGCAGGAAGCTTTATGTCTACCCTCTAATCTGTCCAATCGGAGCTCGGCGATTTGACGTCCCCTCTTATTTCCTCTTTGCCCTCAGTTTCTCGGTTCATATTCTTCGTGTTTCTAGGCGCGTTTTTTTTTTTTTTTTCTTTTTTGTCGTGAGTATTCAGATGGAACCGTAAGGAACGTAACGTAATTATGTTAAGTTCCTGCGTGGACATAAAATGTTTCTTGAAATATGGCGCTTATGCGCACCTGTAACGTCGAAGCAATATAAGTAGCTCAAAAGTATTTTATTGGTGACGGTAACGCGTTCTTTTTATTTTGATGTAAGTATAGGTCTGTAACGCGTTCTATTTTTTAAGTAACGAGTAACGTATTTCGTTACTCTATTTTGGTAACGTCTACGACACGGTCCTTGCCCCGGGCTTGATCGACGCCGATGGGGTAAGAAATCCAGTCCGCAGGACTTTTGTGGAGCAAACGCCAAGCTTTGTGGAAAGCAAGCTGGACAAAACGCCCCCTATCGTTTGATCTCCTCGACAGTACGGAATGCGATCTCTCCGGAAAGCATTCAGTGCAAGGAGTCACGTCCCGGTTTTCGATTCTCCCAAGTTCGTAGTATTAGAACAAGTTCGTCTTTCCGGTTCTGCGACGAAGGGGCAGGTTGAAGAGTCATTCAGGTCAGCCTCTCCCTTGGCAGCAGCCCTGGGAAATGGAGAGGCTGACGTCATGGGCCAAGCTTCGGGAAAGCCGTGACCTCACCTAAGTATACGCGTCATCCAGGACCATCACGAGTCAAACACACATAAACCTACAAAAACCGAGCGTTGATCGGATTTTTTTTTTCTTATGTCTCACGTCTACAAAGTCGAGGAGTGTTCTTTTCCTCTGACGTCCTCCACGTGATCAGTAAAGAGGTTGTAGAAGTGGCGAGATGGGTCGAGGTTTCGAATGCTGTTAATTAGACTACGCGAGGGCGGTTTATATATATATATTGTTAGGAAGAAGAAGTGGTACCGCAGAGTGGCGCGCGCTCGACGAGCATTCAGAGAGCTCTGACTGTTCCCGGACGAATGTCACCCCTACTATCCATCCTGTATCTAATCATTCCTCATTAAATCACCCTATATTTGTAACCTAATACGTGGTGGAGGTGCGGGGTACTTCCGCAGAAGAAGAATATATATATAAATTCTTCTTCTGGATATCTTCTTTAGGCGCGCGTGTCATTCGTCACAGCAATTCGGAGAGTCGGGAGATTAGAACAAAAGTTCCTTTCCTGCACGTCTTCCTAGCCTCGGAGACCCCGGTTTCCGTGTAGTTCTATCGATATTGAGTCCATAATCATGCAATTCTAAAAAGTGCATGCTCCCGAGTCCCAACAAGATCATGTCATTCACTTGAGCTAGCTACAATTGATGCAATAAAAAAGGCACCGCAGTTGAAACGACGAATTGTTTAACTTTGTTTCGCAATGAGCCTGAGCATTTAAAACCAATAGCGAATTAAAACCAAAAGCTAAAACAAGTAAGATAATCTTGAAACGCAAATATGGTAGGCGCCATGAATGGCTGGTGTACTGGAGCATGGTTGCGGTGGTAACACATTGTCTTGTTTTCCCTGTCTTTTCAGCAGCAAGACAAGCAGCGAGCTTCTTGCCAGCAGATACCCCTCCTCAAAGTCAGGGTAAGTAAAAACCTTTTTTTTTTTTTTTATGAATAGATTTTGTTTACTATTTCGCGTACTTGTAAATTCAAAACTTTTCTTGGGGGGTAATGACGGCAATAAACGAGCAATCGAATTATTGTGGTTTGTGTAAAAGTACGAGTATGTAGTTCGCTCTGTTTTGTTTCAGTATATTAACATTCATGTACTCGAACCATGAACATAGGAAACCAAATAACAAGTTAACAAAAAATAGCTTAAATCAACTTCAAAAGACAGTAAACACTATATGCTGCCATTCTTTTATATATATATATATATATATATATATATATATATATATATATATAAAGAGAGAGAGAGAGAAAAGTTACCGTTATATATATATATATATATATACACTTTTCGATCAACAGAACCTACTCTTGTCTTCATCACGACGTCTCAATTTCATATTTCTCGAGTCCCTATTTCCTTAACATAATGACGTTTGTTTATCTTTTAATTATAGTTTTCCCATTTTGGCAACGCACAGGAGCCAACCCCCTCGATCAACGACCGAATCTGCCCCGTGGCTCGTCCATCATTTTTCGAGCGTTCGCCGCGGGGATGAAACAATCGATCAATCACGATCAGCCCTAACGAATCGACAGAAACAAAAGAAGAAGAAGAAAAAATAAAACATGCACCCAATCATACACTCGCGACTCCGCAGTCAAGACGAACCGAAGCCGAGCCTACGAAGCCGCCACGGGCCAATCACGAGCCTCAAACGCGTGACGTCACGGCCGGAGGAGCCAATCGCGTTTAAGTTGAGCGGCGTGACGACACCTGTCTTCGACGAGTTTATACAGTCATAGGTTGAGAGCCATCGTGACGACACGGTTTTGTGATGTGGGTACGCGTGCAGGGCCTAGGCTTCGCTTCAGCACGAAGTGAAGTGTATGAAAAGCCAACCCCGCATCGGCCGAGAAAACCCTCGAACGCCATCTTGTACTGAAAGAGGAGAAGGTTAACAAAGATGAAATGGGTATCGCACCAAGAACGGCATAAGCCTTTTTGTGTGTTTGTTCATGTTTGCTTAGCAATCTACCATTGTGTCAGTATGCATATCCGAAAAATCGACCCTTATATGCGCGAAACACGATCAAGATTGAGAGAGCGGACATGAGAGACCTTTTCGCTATTGGCGAAGAGATCGGACGCTTTGTCCAGTTTGTTTTCCCACATAGCTCGGTGTTTACCCAACACAAGGACCGCGAACAGGGTTCTGTACGCCATCTCCGTCGGTCGAGCGCGCGGGGCATGCAGATTTAACAAGAGTGCCGCTTTAGCGTTCGGCTGTGGATTCGCTGTGCAATCGGCGCTTCACTTATTGAACACGAGCACGAGCCGAACACTGACGCAGAGTTCGGCTACGTGAGCCGAGCGCTACGTTACAAACGCAAACAAACAACTTACGTCGTTGCTATCCCCGTGGGTATAGTTCTCGACTAAGCCGCTTGTTTTGGGCACGGAATTACAAGCGGCAAAACAAAAAAAAAAAAAAAAAAAAAATAGCACGTGGTAAAAAAAAAACACTGAAGAGGTTACTAAGACAACGCGTAGTTGAAAGCACACAACGGCTGACATTAAATTTCTTGACCAAAACAACATCTCTTCCAAATTGTGCTGCCCTCCTTCGACGCATCCAGCTATATCCTTGCCGTTGACCCATTTCGGATTCGACACATTGCTCTATTTTTCGCATGGAAACATAAAAAACGGTCACAAAATACTACGAATATTGATAAAACGCGAGTTGCGGATATTGTATGTGTCCTTTCTAGTCGAATGAAGAAGAAGTTGGCGTTGGCACCGGAACGAAAGTATCAAAGAGCAGATTCAGCTGGCTCCAGATGTTGTCTAGTAAAAAAAAAAAAATAATAATGACTATACAAAACCAGTCTCTCGAAAAGTACCATTTATTTTTTCCTCTCTTTTCTAACTAAATAAAGGCTGGAATGAATGATCCGGCGAACAAAGCTGCGAAAGATCCAATTTTGCTAGTGTGCAAATATAATAGTACCAAGAACGCGGGAACGTGCATTCTTTGGCGGGGGATGAACCACCGTGATAGGCCGGACAGTCGGCTCAAAGTATGCACCTAGAAGAAAGAAGGATATATCTACAACAACAAAAAGGTACCAAACATAGACTAAAGAACGAAGAAAAAAGAAGAAGAAAATATGTAAAAAAAAAAGGGTAAAAGTTGCCCAGATATAAAAATTGCAGAAACCGTTCTTTGTTCCCGGATAAAAATAGGTAGAAACGCATGTTCTGTGGAGCGACTGTAGCGCAAAGGAATAACGTATCCAATTTGTTTTATGGACATATGGGCAGTGAAACAAAATGCAAACTACAAACGAATACAGAAAGGAAGCTAATAGTAAAAGTGTAAATGAACCAGGGTTCGCATCGGGACACGAAATGAAATATTGAATAACACACACGCACACACAAACAGAAAGGACCGGCTCTAGTTTTGCCCGAACCATAAAGTAGAAATGAAACAAAATTATATACAAGCAGGTCCCGCAAAATATGTGATTGCCTGTTCCGGAGATGCTATTGCAAACGATTGATATTACATCTCACAGTTAAACACGAATACTCTATTTTCTGCAAAATAATAGATCGATCATTTATACCGAGTTATGTCGGTATACATACCTGCCATATTGTGTGTGCGAATGCAACCATATACTGTGTCCATCGATGAAATGCTCTTTATAATGCATCGATGCTGGTGTCCTTATTGAATGTCTGTTTTCGTGAATTGTTTTTGTTACCATTAATGACGTAGACGGAAAGGATTTAGATTTTGATATTTCGACGGTTTTGATATTCTAATAACTATTCCTGTCGCACTGTTAAAAAAAAAAAAAAGAGGTGGGTGGTACAGAAACATGCACAATAGAGAGACCATGTATATGCACCCAACTCAACGTTTAAAAACAAGCGTTTGCCGCGCACGCGCACTAACTCGTTTTCGGACGAGAGCGCGCTTTACACTGAGGAATGGCACCATTCGAGTTGTTTTCGTTCGGAGCCCAGGAATGCCTCCGACGAAGCCGTGAGAACCGCCATCACCGGAGGGACTCAGGTGTATCCTATTGCTTGCTCTCTCTCTCTCTCTCTCTCTCTCTCTCTCTCTCTCTCGTGCGGCGGGGCCCGCATTGTTCACCGTTGTATACGGCATAGTATTGCACCACCGAGCGGCAAGGAAGGGCTTGTTGAGACCTCACGTCAGAGTCAACGAAATTTTCGTTCTAGTTGCCAATGTTTGTTTTTAATAATAATAATAGTAATATTAATTTCGGACGCCCCCTTTTTGATTTAACGAGAGTCCTCTGTCTTATCTTCCCATTTCCTGTACACAAATTATTTGCTTCCTATCAACAACTAACTCAATCTCTACATCATCATCATCATCATCATCATCATCAAAGTCATTCGGGAGTCTGCGGCGCTTCAAGAAGAGAGGACCGTTCCTCTATTCGGTGACCTGACCCAACACGAGGTCACCGCCTCGTGTTTGGTGAGGTGACGTCACAGAGTGAACCCCCCCAAACGTGAGTTGGTGAACGTTAGAGACGCGCGCACGACCATGGATCATATACGCAAACCTTGATCGACTATTTTGAGCCTTTCGAAGAATTCCTTGCATCGTGAAACATAAATTGCTGAAAAAAAAGCAGCCTAAACAACGTTAATAGTTGTGAACGTCGTGCCCAATAGTGCCACGAAAAAAGAAAAAAAAAAATCCGAACCCGTCTCACGTTTTTGCAGAACGTGTTCTGGGTGTTCGAGTCTCAAAAGCGCGCACGAGCAGACGGGTTGTCAAAAACGCCAAGTCGCCAAACAAAGCAGTCGTGCACCGAAGACACGGCGAACGTAAAATAAACGAACAAATAAATAAATAAAAGGCGTGCGCACCAAAGCAACGTGCGGTACTCCATCGAACGAAAAAAAAAAATCGTGCTCCGGACGTGAAAAAAAAAAAAAAAAAAAAAGTCGTGCTCCAGATGACACACTTCCTGCTCTCTGACGGTGAGCCACGCTCCAAACCGCCCCAAAGAAAAAAATAAATAAATAAAAAGATACGCATTACACGGAAACAAATAATAGAAAAGGAAGCTTCAAAGTTTGGTGTGAAAAGCTCGAAAAAGGTTGCGTTGTATCCATCTCAACCACTTCCCGGTTTCCATTTGCTGCCATTATTCGCGGTAGTATAAAGAAGAAAAAAAAGTGAAAAAAAAAGAGTAGCAATGGAAATAACTGAAACAAAATAAAAAATCCGCCTTTTCCAATTTGCGATCGTGCGACCGTGACTCCGATGAAACTAAAGGGCCGGTCCGATGTATCTTCCATATTATCATCATCGCTGTTACCGTTTTTGGTTTTCTTCTCAAGCTTCAAAGTGCGGTATGCCGTCTACTCTATGTTGTACCGTATAGTTTCGAAGTGCGGTACTCTCCAAAGGACACTACCATATTTGGAACCTCCTATTTCCCGACACAACGGAAGAAAAGAATTGCCGGGCTAAGGATAAGAACGCATTCGAGTAGACCGTTCGTTTTCCGTCCATGGAGGCGCACGGCCACTCGGCTTTTCTAGTTCCTGCGTAGCTTTGGTAGAGGTATAGTTATATGGGCGTTTCAGGCGATCCCCCCCTCCCCTGTTTCCCGTCTTTACAACTAGAATTCGGCCCTTTAATTCGATTTTTATATGCGATATGATAATATGATTTATTATGGCTTAGGCTCTCTGATGGGCTATTTTAGTTTTTCGTGTCTTTGCATGTTGATTTTCTTTTTTTTTTTTTTTATCTGCAAGTGACGTTTGTTGTGCACCAATGTCAAAACCTTCGCGGTGTTTACGGCGCGTAATAAACGTCAATGTCAACATCATAGCCCTCACGACAAATGTCGGCATTACAGGCACGTATATATGGCTTGCACTGACGTCGATGCACCGCG